TTCGAAATAGGCGGTTTCGCTCGCGGGGATTTTGTGCGGCGGATATATGTTGGGGGGTAATGCGTCGGCGGCGTTCGCGCGAGCCGCGGGCGCCGGCGGGCGGCGGCGGGGCGAGCCGCGGCGACGGCGCGCGCCGGCCGCACTCGCGCGCCGCGCTTCGCATCAAACCCACGATCGAACGACCGACGCCGACGCCTGCGCCGGTGTCGTATTACCGCTCTATAAATATCCCGCGAGCGCGATCGCCTATTTCGAAACGGTCCCGCGGCGTGTTTTGAACCAGTGATTGACAGTGCCGAGTGAAGAAAACCTTTCCGATCGCCCCTACCGCCCCCGACGTGAGTATCCCGCCGATGTAATTCGCGGGGCGCGAATCGAGCCCCGCGGATTTTGTTACCGCATCGCGGTTTTAAAATAAACAGCTGTTTCGTGGAATCAATAGCGCCGGTTACGTGCTAAATTAGGACTACGCTTACTGTTAAAGTTTTACGAAACACGAGATCAAATCTCGTAAGAATGAACCTGATATGTATGCACTAGACAAACTTGAAATTTTTTTTTAAGTTTGACTGATGTTATGACCCGAAGGACATTATAAATTTTAAATGTTTTCCTCATTCCGATCAAATAATTTTAACCGCTTACGTCGTGGTGATCGAAACAATCAATTTTTAATTTAATCATGGCTGGTATCGAATTTCGCAAACAATGCAGTACGAATGTGCATGCCTAAAACAATGCCAAATACTTTAGCACGAATATATACTATATTTATGACAATAAAGATGTTTTGTGTATGAAATAGTAAATTCAGTCAACAAACTAACATTAGAAGTAAGTTTTCAGCAACATGCTACTGCTCGAATTACTATATAAGTAAACGTATAACGCGAAAATATATTTATCTAAGTAACAAAATCTAAGTTTGTTAATTTTGCGAATATTCCATTAAGTACTTTGTCACTAATGTAATACCATAGAGTGATATACATTTTCCTAATGAATGAATGAGCGACACAATATTGTAATCTAGACAGCTTTAGAGCCATTAAACCTAGTCAGATTGCATAAGCGCAGAATGTAGGGCCAGTGTCGCTGAGTCAGTATTACTCGATCACATTCTTATATTTTGGCACTAACACCACGTAACTATTGGCAATTAGGGTTACTAATAACTAGGGCTATGCTAGGATTATGAAAACCTGAAAGTCCTTGACAAAACTGTACACGAACCTTATTATCGTGTCCTTATCAAACTTTTGCTGTCATTTGGCTTATAATACATAAATATTGGACAACATACCGCAACGTACGTTGTTCTGATCACAAAGTAAGTAACTAAAGCACTTGTGTTATGAAAATCGGAAACAACGACGGTACCACAAATATCCATTAGTTTATCTACATTGACTCGGACGGAAATCGAACCCGGGACCTCAGAGTTGGCGACACCACGGACATGATGACCACGGAGGTCATCATGCATTCTAATTGAGGGAAAAACAATTGCAATGATCCAAGACAGAAAAGTGATGATGATGTGTTGATAACATTAAACAAGAAGAGAACTTTGCAAATATATTTATTTGCAGCAACACTAATTATATTGCACAAAACTTCTGAGAAATATTTCAACACTTAATTAAATAATACAGGAGGGATGGAAACTGAGTAATTAGTTTCTTAGCCACCTGTAGTATCAACAGAATCGTACCAAACCTAAATTCTTAACATCACGACTACAGCAGCTGCTGTGTTTTAACCTTGAATAGGTATTTTTATAATACCACCGCAGCAGCTGTAGGCAGGCACACATTTTACCGAGCATATGAGTACGGCTTTGAATTCTGCATTTAGGGAGTAGGTACAATATTGTTGTAAACTTTGAGTTTGCTCATGTAGACCGTACTAAGCGTGTAATGTTAGCCCTCGACGTTATCAAGCTTATAAATAGATGGAGCACAGGGCAGGCACTTTCTATGCTATGGTTTTGAATTTGGCCTGAAGTTACGATTGGTGATACTCGCGCCGTCGGGCTCTGGAGGGCGCGAAGCGATGAATCGAACCGCGGACTGATAGCGGGCCGGTTAGACGAGTCCACAGCCAGAGTGCAACGGCCCAAACTAATGGAAATTTTAAAACGTTCATACTTGCAAGCCCTTTGATTTTATAATGTGATGTTATGCCTCTGCCTCAGCAGAGGTTCGCGAGCTCTTTCTTAAAACCTGTTTATTTTGCAATATTTCTTATTGTTATTTTTTTAGTTTGTAACAAAGAATATAATTATACATATGGATGGTAACAGAGAAATCAATACATAGATGTGAATATTGTCTTGATATGAAAGAAAATTCAACATTGTATTTTATGTGACAAAATAAATGCCTCATCAGGATACAACAAACAATGAACAAGGAAAGAAGATATGCAAATTTTAAGACATTTTACATGGCCGCTAAGGAGGTGCGTCCTTTGTAGCAGGCTCTTATGATTAGACTAATAAAGGTCGAGTCTGGTTTATTTACGTTTCAGATAAAATATAAACTTGAAACGTTATTTACTGAATATTATTATTTCGACTCAAAGTAAACCGGGTAGGTCTACAAATAGAAGAACTATTTAACACAATTAAATGTAACGCGCCATGTAAATCTTAAAAATGAAAATATTGATAAATAATAAAATAATATAATGTATACTTACATTGACTGACAATTATAATGTATATGTTGTTGTTCAAACATAAGTACTTAAGTTCCTTTTAGCTAACGATAATGACGTTTTAGTGCATTGGATATTGTTATAAGATAACACAGTAAGTAAAACAAGTGTCCCAATTGTAACTAAAAAAACTACGGCAGCGTTTAGTTATGCATAATTAAGTTATAGTATCTGCTTTTACATTTTACAGTCGACCTACTGGAATGTTTACATTGAATTTATCCTCTATGATATTAGAGTAAACGATGAAATCATCAACAGAATAAAATATGACTGTTATTAGAAACAAAAACATTTGTTAAGTAAATTTGTGTGAGCGATTCAGCTAGGAAACTAATTGTTACTGAGTAAAGGACATCAACGGCATCACGTCGCAGAATCTGTTCACATTTTTTTCTTATGAACGACATTTTGTTTGTCATGTAATTATTTATTTAAGTGTCTTTGTTCGGCTAATTTTAAAAACAAAAATAGCAAAGAATTGAACGTCAAGTGATGTCTAATTACATGTTAATGTTATTACAATTCGTCGTACAAATTAATGAGTCACACAGAGCTACGATTTAAATTTACATATGTATATTAGTTTCACCTCGCTTCTCGTTATTCTGTTTAGGGTTAACCTCTACCCTACCTTAAAGAGGTGAGTCAGTTGACCGTCTGCCGACTACGGCTAAGTCACTTCTTCGATTACTCATGAGTGGTCCAATTGACAGTCTTTGTGGTACATTGTTGTATTGGCTCACAATACAGTTTTAATATAAAGCGTTTTAAAGATTTTACTATGGGGGCTGGTTTATCTACGGCCCCCCATGCTTTAGCAAATGAGAAGGCTTGGTCTACATAATTTAATGTAATGTGTGTGTGTGTATATATATATATGATATACAAGCTATACAAGATGATATCATTATGGTTGTGCTATCTACATAGATTAATTTAAGACTCATAAATGTCTATTTATTTTCCCCTCTCTCTGACATTGAAGAACAATTAAAACAAATTTACTGACGGCACTTGTACATACACACATATTAACGTGTAAAATGTTTTATAGCTTATATTTTGGAAACGTCAACTGAAGGATTTTATCATATAAGCATATAACATTATTTACGTAGGTTTAATACGCTGTCTACCTTCGTTTTCAAAATGATTTCTTTTTTCAAAATGACAGACTAAGCCATAGTTAAATTTAAATATTGAAACCTCGTACGTTGTACATACAAAAATGGGGCTGAATTCGTCATGTGTTTGGGATCAATGCATTAAAATTGCATCACATAGACGGTCAAACAAACCACTCAAGAGAGTAATCGAGTCGTGTCATTGCAGGTGTCATACTACTTACTCACCTCTAGAGGGTGAGGGGTTCGGTTTAGACAGATTCATTCGATTACAGATTGAAAGCGATGCCCTGTGCAGAAACAGTTCATATTTCTAAAAGCTTGTTGCTAGGAAATATAAAAGTGAATCGGTCACTGTTAGTTGTTCTCTGACAAAAGTTGGCCGATAAAACACATCAGACTAAACCTAAACGATGACTAAATGTAATGTTTTTCTTATATCGAATTCTTACACAAGAGTAATAAATAAATAAATAAAATCATTAGTAAATAAATAATCAAAGAGTAACCGTTATCGAACTTCTGGTGGATTACGTTTTTCTACTTGATTGAAAAAACAAACACGCGACTTAGATCCGAAAAAATAGTTTCGCGTTTTTGTTTTCTTATGACGAGTTCAACTAAGAAAATGTACAATTGTTAATATATCAAATACAAAACCTTCATTCACCAGAAGTTTGATAACGATGAATTACTGTTTGTGTTCATTATGTAGCACTTATTTGCACTCATTTACAGCAGTGTTTATTGTGATATCGATAGCTAATCGTGCGTCATTTCCTTTTCGATTCCCTTTCAATCACATACGAATTTTGAGAAGTTAAGATACTTGGTTTTACATCGATGAATCAACGTCTGCAATAGCCAATGGTTTTATATGACGTCGCGACGTTTGGCTAATACATGCAAATTGAAATCGTAACACTTTTATGACTCATAGACCGTAAGACAAATTATTGTAGTATACAATGAAAGGCAATAATAGACTTTACGTCATTTTTTTATTATTTTTTTCATTATTTGTCTATAAAAAAAATGCCATAAGTACATTTTGTTCTTAAAACTCTGCCTTATATTACTTAAATGTGATTTGATTCTGAGATGGGTTGCCATTGGTGTCTTTTGCGGTAATAAATAGAATTAGGTATAAGCAGTGATGGCTGTGATCCATAGCGCAAGTTTACCCACAAGTGTTTGTGTTTAAAAAAAACGTTTATTACAGGAATTTTATTTACATGATGATTTCATCGTTTAGGTATTCGGTTATTGTCGGTGATAAATTCAATTTTAGTGTTCCAGGAGGTTGTCCGTAAAATGTAAGTGCAGAAACAGTATTTAATAAGTTAGAAATGTATCTTTCTGCTTGCGCCGTCTTGTAAATAGGTTATGTGACTTATGTGTCTTTTTATCTACCTATCACTGTGTGTGTAAATATTTTCCTGGGTGTTTGTGGATTACAAATGCCTCTGCTCAGGTCACACTCACACTTT